GGGGCTTTCCTGTCCTTCAAATCCCTCACAGAAAACTTTTTTTTTTTTTTTTTTGTTCCAGTTTGAGAGGAAAGCTTTCTTAACTCAAGATTCAACAACCTGGGGCTGGAGAGAAGGCTCAGCAGTTAAGAGTACTGACTGCTTTTGCAGAGGACCTGGGTTAGATTCCCAGCACCCACATGGTGGCTAACAACCGCCTATAACTACAGTTTTAGGTAATCCAATGCCCTCTTCTGACCTCCACGTGCACTGCATGACACAGGTGCACCTACCTACATGCAGGCAATATACTCATACACATAAAATAAAAATAATAAAGTATTTTTTAAATTAAAAAATATATACAACAATAAACTGAAAAATAGACATGTACAAACACACACATATAAAAATTAAAATAGAACTATAAAAGATGCTTGAGTAACCAGTAGGAAGGTAAGAAAAAATAAAAATGAAATAAAAACACAGAAAACAAATAATGGAAGTCTTAAAAGATTAATCTACAAATAATACATTAAATTTCAATGTTATAAACATACAAATTTAAAGAGATCAGTGAAGAGTGGTTCAAATACATGACTCAAACATGCAATGTCTATAAGAAACATTTCAAACATAATTGAAAGAATGGGAAAATGCATAACTGGAGAGGCTGTACCAGCATCACACAGAGTAGACTGCAAAGCACAATTACCAGATGCACACAGCCATACTGTGTAACAACTGAACCGAGGGCATGGGACAAATGCTTATGCAAAAAACTAAGTGGTAAAATAGGTAAAATAAAAACTGACAGAATTGAAAGGAGAAGCAGACAAACCCAAACTATAATAGACTAAAGAGACAGAAAATCAGCATAAATAAAGACAACATCAAGGACATCCTCAACTAACAAGATCTGACCATCTTAGCACTCCCCTCAGCGGCCACAGAATATACAGCCTGAACTGGAAAACAAAACAATACTTTTCTTTTGAAAAAGAGATCATATTGTGTCAAAGGAAGAGAGATGGCAATGTGTTCTCCAACCACAGCGGAACTGAGCAAGAATTGATGATGGAAGAAGAAAAAGAAAAATCTCCAAAAACTTGCGATCTGAAAAACATATTTCTACATAATCTGCACGTAAAAAAGTAAATCTCGCCGGGCGTGGTGGCGCACGCCTTTAATCCCAGCACTCGGGAGGCAGAGGCAGGTGGATCTCTGTTGAGTTCAAGGCCAGCCTGTTCTACATAGTGAGTTCCAGGACAGCTGGGGCTATAGGGAGACCCTGTCTCAAAAAGACCAAAAAAAAAGTAAATCTCAAAGTGGGCAAGCTAGAGGCTGCCTCCGTGAGAGCTAGTGAAGGAGTCAGAATAAGGAAAACTAGACTTTATTCCAAAGAGGAAAACAGAAGAAGATTCAGTAATCCATAAAGGACGTGAAAGGATGCTGGAAAAGAGCAGGGAAAGGTGGTGCCACTCAGCGAGGTAAGCTCTGTAGGCATGCGGTTTTGGTAATCGAGGAAGCAGAGGGTGGGACAAAGACCACTTCTAAAGGCAAGCCAGACCAAAGCTGGGCAGTCTGACCCTCGGGGAAGTCCAGAGCTCTCACAAGCCTCAAATCCAGTTGTGGATTTTGGTAAGATGGTAATTCCTATCTGGGGCATGTCATGGCAGAAGTATAATTTTGTCCTGGACTCTGCACACCCACACTCCAAAATTCATAGCTTTGGGGGAAGGAGTGGAGAGATGGCTCAGGGGTTAAGAGCACCAGCTGCATTTGCAGAGGATGGGAGTTCAGTTCCCAGAACCCACATGGTAGCTCACAATGGTTTGTAACTCCCTTTCCATGGGATTGCCCTCTTCTGGCCTCTATGAGCACTACACACATGTGGTACACTAAAATACATGTAGGCAAACACTAATACACATGAAATACAGGAGAATCTCTGGAAGCTAGCAGAGGCAGGAGCAGCTAGCCTGGAGGCAGCTAGTCTGTTTGTTGAAAACAACAAAAAGACTATCTCAAATGTGGTGGTAGGTGAAGACCTAAACCCAAAGTTGTCCTCTGAACTCCACACTGGTGGTGTGGCATACAGGCATCTGCACTCACACACATAAAGGTGCACATACACACAGTTGGAGCATGAACAGTTCTCCACTTGGAGATCCTGCTTTTGATATCACATTGTCTTGGATTCTGAAGTTGAAAATTAATATTTTTTGATACCTGTCAAGGGTTTTTTGTTTTGTTTCATTTTGTTTTGTTTGAGATGAGGTCTCACTCTGTAACCCTGGTTAGTCTGGAACTTGCTATGTAGACCAGGCTTGCCTCAAATTCACAGAGTCCACCTGCCTCCGCTGGGATTAAAGGCATGTGTCATCATGTCCAGTCCTATCATAAGTTTTTTAGTCTTTTTCTAGTGCTTCTTGCTTTCATGTTCTGTCAGCAAGAAAACTTTGTAACTGCTGAAAAAGAATTTAAAATGTTATGCAAAGGGGCTGGAGAAATGGTCCGTGGTTAAGAGCACTGGCTACTCTTGAGAGGACCCTGGTTTGGTTCCCAGCACCCACAAGGCTGCTAACAACTGTCAGTAACTTAGGTTCTTAAGGATCCAACGTCCTCTTCTGGCCTCTGTGGGCACTGCACAACACGGGTGCACTTAACATACATGCAGATGAAACACACATATATATATAAAATAAAAGTATATAAATCAAAAAATATTTTACATGTCATGCAACGACATCATAAAAAAACTAAAATAAGCGAAATCTTACTTTTGTCCACATTACTCTCTTGTAGTCTCTGGTCCCGATCTTTAGGAAGTAAATTTGCTTTACTAGTTGCTCCAATTGCAGATCCTGGTGCTGATAACGGAGGTTCTAGAGCATTGTAAGAATCATACAAGTCCCAGGCAGTGGCCATTACTCCTAAATAGACAGAAAAGACAAATATTATTTTTAAACCGAATTCTAATATTATAGTTGTACATGTAGCTAGTCATAAAATAGTCCAAGAATACTTTCCTAGTCATGGTTCAAGGACTTTCTTTTCCCTTTAGAGATAAGCGTTATGCAATTTGGGAGTCTTTTAGGTAGACCCACTGAAGGGGGTACCCCAGTTGCCTCACACTGTGTCCCTGTTCAGCATGGAAGAAGCCAGAGCAGTCTGCACCCCTATTCCCTATTGGCAATTTGGGTAACCCCTTCAGAGGATGGGTGTGGTAAGAATAGGAGATAGGAATTGGCTAGACAGTTAGGGTAAAAAGACCCCAAAGAAAAGTAGCCAGTTTCTTGGCTGAAAGTCAAACTTTCCTTCAGCTTCTTAGCAACATACTCTGTTCCAAAGGCCAAAAATGTCAAAAGTATTTGGGAGCTTGTATCTAATCCTTAAAAGATTTTAGGGTTACCTCTTCAGAGGGGGTAGTGTTAGAGTAGCCAAAAGGCCTGTAAAAATAAACGAAAGAAGAAAAATAGCATTATTTTAATGGTATTTGCAGGAAGATGGTAAAGAAAGGACTTGGTAAGGTCCCTCAAAAGCTGTAGTCATCCTACTATTATCATCTACAAAACCCTTTGTGTTTTAGGGACAGCCTCAAACAGTGGTCACTCTGTTCTGATCTCTGTACTTCCCTCCTCCCCACCTGAAGCTCCGGATGTGGAACCTCATCAGTCACTACAAGGCTGTCACGTGACGTGGACTTGTACAGCCCCGAGTTGTCTTTGTTCCTCTGCTTATAGCTAACATATGACATGCATTTCACTCCAATTTTATTCAGTAAAGTTCCCTATACACCTATTTAGGTGGAAAGAGTGTACCTCAAGTAAAAAAGTTTCAAATGCTTAAATATAGCAGTGGTGATCAAATACAACCTGGTAATGGTATATTACTTTCAAATAATAACTTCAGTAGTATAGTCTACGATTTATACTACTTTGTAGCAATTATTTCACTCTTGGATACTATGTTCTTACTTGCTGACTTTACTAAACTTCCAGTTAAGGAATGATGTGGTGTTTGATGCTTTGGTTTTCATTGTTTCGAGGCTTTCACACGAGTACTACGTTTAGATCCATTCTACTCCTCCCCTTTCTGTTCTACTCCTTCTCCTTCAGAAGTTCCCCCCATTCCCTCTCAACATCCTGACCTCTTCTTTAATCATGTTTTGAAGGATGGTGTTTTAGTAAAGAGTTCTTTTCACTTAAAGATCAAAAGGGAACTGGACTTAGTAAAAGTAGTTATTTCACTACTAAAACCACACAATATAAAAATAAGGTTCTCAAAAAAGGAAAGCTCTTTGGTATTTAATGATGGCTTCAATGAGTAAGGATATTACATTTCATAATAAAATTTATAATCAATACCCTGTCTTAGTATAATTTACAAAGTTACTCATAGAATAAATTCATGGTATATTTTGATGAATTGAAAAGCACGACCTTTAATCCAAAGAAAAAGAAAAGGACATGACCTTTGAATGTTGAATTATCTGATTTTATTATCTGATTTTCTTTTTGTGTCATTTAACAGAAAGTTTAGTATGTAGGAATATATTGTTACACGGTTGGCAATAATTGATTATGAGTGCTAATTTTAGTTTGAACCACCATTGCATGTGTTCATTTGACTAAGTTTAATCCCCAAACTTCTATACATTATGTATGTTCAGTTTGTTTGCTTTGAGATTGGGTCTCATGTATCCTAGACTGGCCTCAAATTTGCTATGTAGCCAAGGATGATCTTGAACACTTGGTCTTCCTGCCTTCACCTCTCCAGTGCTAGGTTTATAAGAAACCACCACCAGGCTAAATGCTTTGGTTTTGTAGTGCATGTATATATGTTCGTGCATGTTCATGTATATGCGTGCATGTGGACTGATGCCAAAAGACAACCTTGGCTGTCATCCTCAGGAATAATGTCCACCTCCTTTCAGACAGGATCTTTCATTGGCCTTGATCTCACCAATTAGGCTAGACTGACTGACAAGTGAACCTCAGGAGTCCTCCCGTCTCCTCCTCAATGTGAAGAGTACAGGCATGCCACCATCGTGCTTGGAATTTTTACATGAGTTCTAAGAAACAAGTATATTATCTCTCTAGCCCATATGTTCATTTTTTGTAGCAATTGTAACTCTATATAGCTGTTGAAAAACAAAAGCTATAGGCCCTAGTATCATATTCAAGATGCATAATTCTGATTATGACTTGCCAATTATATATATTATTTTTAAAGATAATTTTAACAGCTATTAGAAATAGTATTTCAAATTATACTTTCCCCCAGTATTTCTGGGTATACAAGGTTTCCAAGAGAAGTGGGTTATGATGTGAGGGTATCTAGAGGGATTCTAAGCAATTAAGAATATTCTATATCTTATCATGACTGGTGAGAACATGGAATTCATCCTTGGCTGCATGTATGTGTGCCTGCATGCATGTGTGCATATGTGTTACAATCTTCTGCTAGGCTATACTTTGCGATGAATGTTTAAATAAACAAAGGCATTATTTATATAATATAACATAGAAATGGTATGGTTTTATGGATCAACAACAGCATGCCTGATTTTAGATAAAATTGTGAAATAGATGCAGGAATCAGAGAAATGGGGTCAAAATACAACCTGATTACCAATAAGAGTAAATGGAAAAAATGTAGCTAAAGGGTTTGCTGATTCTTCCCTTTTCAGTAAACTATATATAACACACACGTAAGTTACTGGCACAGCCAGACAAGTATAGATCAGAATGCATGTTTTCTGCAACTAAGCAGTCTTAATGAAACACACAGAAGTGACTGAGTTTTAATTCCTCCTCCTAACCTCTCCTTCCAAATTACTCAGCTTGCTTTCCCTGGGAAAGAGAGTACAATGTGTAGATTCAGCTGAGATTCCTTTGTAAAGGTTCTCACAAAGTGAGGAATCGGTTTACAGTAATTGGTGATAAAGGTGGTAGTTCAGATAGTTTCCTCGACTTGTCTAGGGACACTTATTAGAGAGAGGATCAAGGGCAAACTTAAAACCACCTTAAGATTTCATCTTATTCCAGTCAGACTGGTTAAGATCAAGAGAACAAATGATGCAAAATGCTGGCAAGGATGTAGAGAAAAGAGAACACTCATTCACTGCTGGTGGAATTGCAACCCCCATGGAAAGCAGTGTGGAGAATGCTTAAAAAACTAAAAATGAACCTACCATATGTCCCGGTTATACCACTCCTTGGCATATACCAAAAGGACCCATCCTATTGCAGAGACACTTGTACAACCACGTTGTTGCTGCTCTTGTCACAATAGGTAAGATATGGAAGCAACCTAAGTGTCCCTCAACTGAGGAGTGGTTAACAAAAATGTGGTACATTAACACAATGGAATTCTACTCAGCAGTAAAGAAAGATGAAATAATGAAATTTGCAGGTAAATGGATGGACCTAGAAACCGTTATACTAAGTGAAGTAACACAGACTCAGAAAAACAAGCATGTTCTCCCTCATTTGTGGATCCTAGTACCAAATCCTTGTAAGGGAGAGCATATCCTGATGTAACTGCAGGAACCAGGAATATGGAAGGGAACTGAGAGAATAGTAGGAGAAAGGTTTACTGAGGGAGAAATATGCAAAAAGGAGGTAGTTAAAGGGGAAGGTGTGAAGGAGGGCTACACAAAGAACTATAGGAATACAGGGGGAAAATTCGCCCAATACACAGTAAAAAAAAAAAAAAAAAAAAAAAAATCCTTAAGCACAGAAGGAACCCTATGAGAATGGAAGAAAGCCCTACCAGAAGCCATACAGTTTGTAAATGAAAATTCCAGTGCCAGAGGTGGGTTGGCCCCCTATGAGTTGTTGGCCAGAGGGGCCCTAGAGGTCCCCAAAACAACAAAGGCCATTGCCAATAATGTTGGTTGTAATAATGTTGGCTGTACACTGGAAGTAGACAGTAAAACCCTATTGCTGAAGACACAGCATGATGTGAGTGCAGGAGAGGGAGAAATCAAGCTTGGACTAAGCTGGAAACTCCCTGCCACTGGATGGGTGGCTTTCATAGTGCCAGAGGGTGACATACAGATGGCTGGGGGAGAACTCTCCCCCATAATTCTGCTCAACGACAAACTCCCACATGCTGCACTATCAACATGCCAAACAAGATGTTCCAGCTGGTGAAATAGTGGCATGTTTAGTGTATGTACAACCAGCAAATTTTCAATTGGATATATTGCTCACTCTTAGAACTGGAACACACATCTGGTACTGTAGACCAGGCCCATCCCTTGTGGCAGGGGAAGATATAGGTCCCAGTGGGGAAACCACTGCAATTGTTCTGTTAGATGGATGTGATGCACCATGGGTGCGTACACTCTCTGGGCGCACTCCCAGAATGGCACGGCAGGTCCACAGGCTCCCCTGCCGTGCGTCTGGAAGAAGGCAGGTCTGGCCCCGCGGGCTTCTCCGTGTCTCTATGGGCCTCAGGCATGGGGTGTGCAGGTATCTCGGGGTCGCTCTGGGCCCCTGGATCTCGGGGCCCCTGCCACACCTGGCTAGTCACTGGTGGGTCTGGCCACAGGCGTCTCTGGCCGCGGCGGCGGGTGCCCTGCAGGCTTTTCCCGGCGGCTCGGGTCCTATGTCTCTGGAGCTTCTCTGCTGCAGAAGCGTTGTCCTGCCGAATCCTGTCCCTAATCCACCCATGTACTTTTCCTCAGGATGTGAGGTCCACTGGCCACTGAACCCCACAGGAGAAGTACAGAGACAGCGAAAGCTAGAATGTCCATAAGCCGGTCACGAGGAAGTGCTGCCCCCCGGAGAGATTGGGCTGCCAGGAGGGACACAAGACTGGCTTAGTTTGGGATAC